CTCGGCGCCCTCTGGTGGGCAAGCCTGAGGATCCCAACACTTTTTAGGGAAATCAGGCCCACCTGATTAAATTAATTCAACTTTTGCTTTCTTAATATTGGCACTGAGCATAAAAACAATGGGTAACATCTGGAACACTCTTTAAGGTGGCCATTCCTCATCACAGTTCCAACCCTTATGAAGCTGATATGTTAATATCAGCTGGATGATTCCTGTGTGGTAGATTCCCATGGAAACCAACAGCAAATTGAGAATAACAGAGAATGATTTAGGTGTAAAGGAGAAGTTTTTGAGTGGAGTAGGGGAAAGTCGAAAATTACTTTTATGATGAACAACAAAGCTGATAAGCATCAAGAAGCGTTCAAGCTTTAAATGCATATTTCTTTTGAATTATGTAGTTTAAATTCTTTAAGTAATTAGTCAGAGACTGGTATATTTAAACTTTTAAAACTTTTATTATTCAGGTCAAAATGACAGAGTACAATTATTGGTTGTTAAAATATATTTGATTGTACAAAATTAATCAGATATTGCTTGATTTTACTTATAACCGTATGAAGAACCTGCAGTGGTCTGGTCTGGGACACGGGTAGGTTTGATGAGCTTAAGGTTCTTGATTCGTTTGGGATCCCACACGCAGTTCTCCTCCAGACCACTCTTCACCATCCCACAGTTGGGCGGTACCCAGGCGGTGTCATATCCATTATTATGCCAGGTCTTCTGCATTGGGTGTTTCTGGTGATCAATTTTTTTAACCTTCCCTACATTGACCTTGACCACAATGACCACCCTGTCCTCCTCAGGGTGATCAATAGGATAGCGACTTGCTTTTTCGAGGTCTCGGCTGAGGTAGACCCCACGGCCAAGCATCCCATCCTCAGATTGACGGAAACCAGTGGCCCAGATGGCCTGAGCAATCTCACTGGTAGTGCCATGATACATGATATAGGTTCTGCCATCATTCGGCTGCGGGGTAAGCAGTCGAGATGCTCCAGCAGGAGGATCAAAGTCATCTTCAGCCCACTGTAACCTCAACTTGCTCATGTTGGAGTCAGGATATCTGAAAAGAAAAAGGAGAAATATTTAACACTAAATCTATTCATGTATTTTAGTGAAAAAAGGAGTGCTACAATGGTATCTACATTTGCTTATTTTCTAAAGCTCAAAAACTTTTAATTATTGCCCTATTTTAAGATTTAAAAAAATGTTTCAACTAAATATCACTTAAAATTAATTAACTTTGCCACCCATTGGGGTACATTTGCACATGCATTAAATCTTGTGTGCTGTTAAAAATATTTGAAAATGTATCAGATCATAATTGTGAAAAAAAAGTTATTTATACCTACTGCTGTATAATAAATAGCTTAGGGAAATAATTATGCCACATCATTTGACTAAATGTGAAAGGATCCACCAACAAGGTTGTTTTCTAAAGTAACAGTGAACCTGAAAAACTGATACGGCAGGTTAGTCCAGTTTGCTGTAAAATTTATGGCTGCCAAATATAGAGTATGCAGGGGCAGTTTTGGCCTAGTGCTTAGAGCAGTGCACTTGTGCTCTGAGAAGGTTGCAAGTACCCGGCTCGATTCCTGCCGGCCTCAAACTGCACTCTGGGTCTCTGAGCAAGACCCTTAACCCCCGGCTCCCTGGATGCCGCACAGTGGCAGCCCACTGCTCCCCAAGGGGATGGGTTAAATTCAGAGAGTTAATTTGTCCATTGTAAGAGATAAATAAAGTTCAATTTATATCTTTTACACAGTTCGAAAATAGGTACAATGGAAAAAAAAAAAAGAATAGAGTTATATAACTATTGAGAATCTATCATCCTACATTGCATGTATTTATGCTCATGCTAATTACAAATTTATTTAAAAGTTGACAGTGTGAGAGAGCTTTGTTTAAGTTTAAGAAAACAGGATATGTGTTGTCAGGAACATTTCTTGTTATGATCCTTGCAGGAAGTGCCACATTTGGAATCCCCTGCTGTTCTCTTCCACCGCCTTACCTTCAGTCAACAAGGGAGGGATTTACAATATTTCCATATATGCCTCCTAAATGACTCAATAGCTTAATTTGTTGCATTCATAACGTAATTAGATACAGCTCAAATAAACATTTTTTTTTTTAAATATGAATTTGACATTTCATATTACTATCTAAAAAATGTCTAAGTCTTATTTAACAAGAATTGGTGTTTCTCATTCAAGCCAGCATTTTGTTTTATGCAAATGATTATTCTCAGTCAGCCAGGTCGTTGTCATTCCAAAAAAGTTTAAAAAATTCTCCACTGGACTTTGTTTTCCAAGTTTGAGGATATTTCGCTACCCATCCAGAAAGCTTTCTAGATTCAAAATGTTTGGAGTAGTGTTGAGTTCCAGGCTTATAGGGTTCTAAAAATTATTGATGCATATTTAAAACACCAATCATTTCTTTTTTTCTTTTTAAGGATGTTCACAATATGTTTTTTAACATTTGTTAATCACATTTCCTGTATAAAGTCTGATTCTTTAGATAAATACTGATGTTTCTGTTCTTGACTTACCTCTGCCTGTATCCGTCTTAGACTGAAGCATGAATTTAATCTGCTTCTTTCTAAAAACCTGTGGGAGGAAACTCTAAATAAGGATTTATTTAGTTTCACTTTTGTTTCTCTTATTGCATACTTTGGTGTGGTCCACCCAGATGTAGGTTTCACTTCTATAAGCAGCTAATTTTATACATATGGGGGACTTTCTCTCTGTATTTTTTTTTTTATATTTTAGATATTTTTTTATTCTTATTGGAGACAATGTTATCTGCAATAAAAAAAAAAAAAAAAAAAACTTAAAATTTGAAGAGAATCCCATAAAACCGGATTTTGAGATATATTATATATTTCATTTTTTTTTTTTTTATAATTTCCACACCAATGGCCTCTTTAACAGTTATTTGTTAAGTTACATTGAGATTACAATTAGATAATGAGGCTGTGTGATTTTTTTGGAATGATTGGAATAAAACTTTAAATTATCATGACATATTTGTGATTACAACCAGCTGAATCCATTGAAACAGGTGGTGGCATATCTTCCACTTTCTGCTCCGCTGGTTGTCCTCTGTGGCATCTGCACACAATACATTCTGATAATATTTTTCTGCAGGCCGAGTTGACAATTCAGTATCTTCTCTGAGGGCTGAAAGCAGTGGCGGCTGGTGAAAAATATTTTTGGTGGGGCTGATATAGCCTAGTGTATGTCTCCAACT